ACCTTCTCCCTTAAATATAAAACTACGCCTCCCTCTTATCCAGCTCATGTTTTCAAATCCCAGTAATGTGATATCGACACGCAGTTTGGCACCACTTTTCCAGATGCGGCAGACATCATTCGGGCATATCCTGGAAACCAAGGGCACTGGAGGAGAGAAGTGTATGAATGAGAAACCTGAGGGCCACGGCAGCACACCCAGGCCCAGGAAATCAGAATTCAGGCTTTAATACAAGGATGGGAGTGGCAAGATGGTGACCATCATAGACAACTGGACATCTTGGCTCCCATACTTACTACATAGGATGTCACTGTAGGAAAATAAAAATGCACCTTCTGCTCTGTAGCTCTTTACAAAAGGACAGATGTATGTCTTGCCCAGAGAAAACTCTAAATGAATTTCCCAAGAGTATTCTCAATCCTGACATGAAACCCACCAGGTGGACTACAGAGTGTGTCCATCTGGTCTTTCTCATTCACATATGCTACTCTTACCATATGGCTGCGGCCTACATATTGTCATACTGTCATCCAAAATATCAAATGTCTAAAATATACTGCTTTTTAACAGAACCTGAAATAAGAGTGATTGTTTGCATTAGAAAAGAATCCATTAATTTCACAGAAGAATCTGAAGTTCTCTTCTTTTACAGACTTTTTACTTCACTTAAATCTTCCATTACAAATATGACTTCTTGCCTGAAACGGAAGTTTGGCAGTGAAAATGGCTGAAAACCTGGGAGTTAGGAGCTATGATTAACTGATCTACAAGACATAAAAGTAAAACATCTCTGAAATTGTAATGTCAGTCAATATGTCTTATGTAATATTTTGAGGAAGGGCATCCATTTTGCAAAAAAATAAGCTATTCCAATATTCACCTAATTTTCTTCCTTAGAATAGCAAGCTTAAAAGAAGCTGAACTACGTAAGAAAATCAGTAACCAAGTTATGGTAAAAACCACCTACTGAAATGTTAGCAATTTAAAGTGATATTATTTAAAAAGCAACAACAGGGACAAATGTCAACTATAAGTGACAAAAGAAAGAGACAAAGTTGTCCATACATTATATTTACAGATGCTTAGAGGAAAAGTCCTGTGCATGAGGGAAAAGACTAGAAGGAAAACAACCCAAAACATTAACAGTAGTTGTGCTGAGGTGAATCTAGGAGTGATTGTTTTTCCTAGATTTTTAAAAAAGACAAGTTACTTTTATAAAGAAAAAAGAATCCTATATTCAGGCTAAATAAATTTGGAAACAGTAAATTACAAGCCCCCAGCCACTTACCCCAGCTGGTGAATTCCCATTTCATCTGCACATAGAAATCTGGAGCCTGGAGGGCAGACAAAGATTTAAAATAATTTGCCCCTGCCACTGTTAACTAAACACAAATAAACACAGCAAGGGTTAACAGGACAAAAAAATAAGGGAGAATAGGAAAAATAATAAGAAAGGCGTAAAGTGCAAACCTATCAAAATAAATGATTATTTTATCTTTAGGCTGTTATTTTACGTTGAAATAAACTACGTCTAAACAGCTAAAGTTAATTGAAAGCAACAAGATTGGAACGTGATAAAAGTCAAACCTGCTTTAAGGGCTGGATCAGGTTCCTAACAATAACAGAAAGAGGGGCCTGGGAGGAGGGGCTTAAGGACAACCGCGCAATGCTGGTAACAGTCTATTCTGGGCAAAAGAAGGGAAAGTCGATTCTCATCTATTATATGGGGAACTTGACTGTCAAAGGCTTTGTGTTCAGGGAAGTGCTTTGTCGGACCACTCCTAGAAACCGAAAGAGGCTGCTAGACATCACTTCCCCAGGAAGCAGATTTTCCCCCCAATTAAGAGAAGACTGCCCCAACTCTCTTCTTAAGCTTTCACAACGTGGCTTACTGAAGGTTCGCAGCACCAGAGCAGCTCTGTTTAGAATTGTTGTCTTACCTACCATGGATGCTTTTGGAAGGTTCTTGGAGAACTACTTTAAAAAATTCAACAGTTACCATCTAAGAAAAAGAGAAAGGCTAGAAATTCCAGGTGTTTTTCTGTTTCCTCTCAGCCCCCAAGGGTTGGCCATGGTTTTCTACAGAAGCACAGACAGTAAAACCAGCCAGGATTCCAATGATGGACAAAGACAACCTCCAGGGAGGGGCCGATAAGAACAGCTGGCATATTTTATGATGAGACACTGTTGAAAGACAAAAACGTCAACAACTACCTCTAGCGCCACCAAGTACACAGGTCACTTCTGAGCTACCGATAATTTCAAGCAGTGAACACAATTCAGTGCAGTCCATTGGCACGCATCAATATGGTTCAAAAAAAAAAATCCTTTGCCCTGAATTTTTGCAAGGAAGGGTGACGCTGTGTTAAGTGGTTTTCTGCCAAATGGGCAAATGATGTTTTTAGTTCCTCCTGCAGTATGTTAGATAAGGAAACAATAAATCCATGTGATCTTTGCACACTCATAAACACAGAACTGTTTTAAAAACAATGCCCACAACTACTTCAGATTTCATGGGAGATTTCATTGTAGGGCAGAGGACTTGAATATATTAGGCAAACTTTAAGCTTAAGGGTCATCAGAATGTTTTTTTAAGAGTGCTCAAATAACTAGCAGTGATTGTCTTACATAATAGCAAAGGTGTTCCTTTTCTCAAAAGAGCTATTGATTTCCCTCAAGAAATATATTTTAAGTAAATTTGTAAAGCCAATTTATCAAATAAATAGTCAGAGCAATTTTGGGAAGCCCACTTCTGTGCTTAAATTGAGAATTCCAAAAAAACCCAAACCCATTTCCACCGAGTCAATTCCAACTATAGTGACCCTAGAGGACAGAGCAGAACTGCCCCATAGGGTTTCCAAGAAGCAGCTGGTGGATTCAAACTGCCAGCCTTTTGGTTAGCAGCTAAATGCTTAACCACTGCATTAGGAGACATGAAAACTGAATTACTAGGACTTTCTGGTTTCCTGCTTTCCTGGGAATACTGCTCATGGTTGACTGGTAAGATGGTTCTTTCAGGTAACAAAAATGACCTGAAGATTGGCAACCATCATCCAGAACACATCGGTGAGCCTTGAAGTCAATTTTAAAAAAGAAAGGCTGCTGAGTGACATGGAGCTCCTGCACTTTACTCCGTAAGACAGATGAACTGCTGAAACGCCAATACTGTGAATAAATTAAGGCCATGGATTAAAAGTCACAAAAAAATACTAATGGCTAGAAGTAAGAGAGGTGGCAAAGAGAAGATGCACACAAACCTCTGAGCCCCAACAGGCCCTGAAAACCCCTGTACAGTAACTGATGCTCATGCCCATTTTCTCAAGATGACCTATGCTCAGGGTGCTACTTTTACGAAAAAGCGCGCCTAGACAAATGCATTGTTTGATGTTCATTTTTCTTAAGCTATCATTTTTCAGAAGCCCTTAAAAGGGTAACCCCAGTGACCTGGAAACATAATTTGTGAACGATCTCATACATTCCAGGTTGGAGAGGCAAGGAATAATGCTATTTGGTATTCAACATATAGTATTCACCATGCATAAAACTCTTTAAGAAGTCACACAGGATGTCAAGCTGCTTCTGTAGCTACTACACCAGCACTTCATTCCAATTATGGCATGGCCACATTTTTACAGGTACCTCAAGAATCTTTCGGAGCAGCTCAGGAACGCCTTCGAGGGCCATGGATGTGTTGTGGTAGTCTCGGTGCTGAAGAACTGTGTATACCATCTCGGGATCACCGGTGCTCACAGCCTCATGTAAAACTGATAAAAAAGAGAAGATGAAATCACCAAGGAGTCTCATAATTTCTGACAAACTCCAAAGCCAATCTGAAAAGTATCTATACAGATCAAACACCAATATTCTTCTTCAAACAGGGAGAGAGGCTGTAGTCAAACCTTATCACTTATGACCATGACCTATCGCTACCTCTTAGCTGAGTAAGAAGAAAATAGAGCGAGCACTCAGTCTCTTGATCACAGCCCCTCAACTCATCCATTCTTGCCAAACCAAAAAAACCCATGGCCATTGAGTCGATTCCAACTCATGGCAATTCCATGTGTTACAGAGTAGAACTGCTCCATAGGGTTTTCTTGGCTGTGATCTTTATGGAAGCAGATCATCAGGACCTTCTGTGGTGCCACTGGGTGGGTATGAACCACCAACCTTTAGGTTAGTAGTCAAGCACAAGCTGTTTGTGCCACCCAGGGACCTTCCTATTCTTGCTACTTGTTCTGAAATCTTGACATTTTAAGAGAGCTGGCTTTAACAACCATGGTTACACGTAGATCTGGCAGGCAGGACTTGTGCTTGTGAGCATCCTTGCTCAGTCAACACAAAATTGAAAAAAAAAAAGAAAAAGTGAATTGCTAGGATTTTGCTAGAATAAGCTACTTCTAGCCATAATTTATTTTTTATTTTGCTTCTCTTAATGGAGTCACTGGAGTTACCATCATATTCCTCAGGGGGCAAGTGGCCTCCAGACCCATGTACACTGGAGAGGGTTTATGCTGAGAGCTGCTTTCTAGACAAGGAATCACCTTCTACCAAGGGCTTTTGGCCCAAGACACAATCCTGGTGTTGTACTCTAGATCAGCAGCAGCATCTGCGGCACTCATCCCCCTACCTCCTACTCCCAAGAGAGGAAAAGTCTTAAGGTAAAGATGACTCTGAGGAAAATTAGGATTGAGCCTTGCCTTCCTTCAGAAAGGGAAACCAATATGAAACGCTTTAAATTATTTTCCAAGTACACTTGCCTGTCCATCCCTGGCGATTTTCTTTTGTAACATCTGCTTTATGTCGAAGCAAGACTCTAGCAGATTCCAAATGTCCCAAAGACACAGCAAGATGCAATAAGGTTCGACCTCGTGGATCCAGAGCCTCCACATTCTGTGAAGTAAACATTAGCATTTTAGTATAAACCTGTTAGTGGATATATTATATAGAAATGTGGAAATGTATTTGGAAGATAATATTAAGTATAAAAGACAGAAAATATTATTTACACACTAACTGCAGCAACATATGTAAAAATGTATGCTTACACGTGGACAAGTTTGAAATATTAATTTGGGGGCTATACATAAAGTTTGTAGTTCCTGAGTTCTTTTTTCTAGAAAGTTAACAGCCTGCAAGGTATGCAGTCACTGTTATGGATTGAATTGTGTTCCCTAAAAATGTGTGTCAACTTGGCTAGGCCACGATTTCTGGTATTGTGGGGTTGTCCTCCATTTTGTGATCTAACTATCCTATGTGTTGTAAATCCTAACCTCTATGACGTCTTAGTCATCTAGTGCTGCTATAACAGAAATACCACAAGTGGATGGCTTTAACAAAGAGAAGTTTATTTCCTCACAGTGAAGTAGGCTAAAAGTCCAAATTCAGGGTGTCAGCTCCAGGGGAAGGCTTTCTCTCTCTGTCGGCCTTCTTCTCATCAGTGCTCCCCTGGACTAGGAGCTTCTCTGTGCAGGGACCCTGGGTCCAAGGGACACGCTCTGCTCCTGGCACTGCTTTCTTGGTGGTATGAGGTCCCCTGTCTCTCTGCTCACTTCTTTTATATCTCAAGAGATTGCTCCAGGACACAGTCCAATCTTGTAGATTGAGTCCTGCCTTACTAACACAACTGCCACCCATCCTCCCTCATTAACATCATAGAGGCAGGATTTACAACATATAGGAAAATCACACAATACCAGGAATCATGGCCCAGCCAAATTCACACACACATTTTTTGGGGGACATAACTCAATCCATGACAGACGTTAATGGAGGAGCCCTGGTGGCACAGTGGTTAAATGCTTGGCTGCGAACTGCACGATCGGCAGTTCAAACTCACCAGCTGCTCCCTGGAAGAAAGATGTAGCGATCTGCTGCCATAAAGATTTCAGCCCAGGAAACCCTATGGGACAGTTCCACTCTGTCCTATAGGGTCGCTATGAGTTGGAATTGACTTGATGGCAATGGGGGGAATGACGTTAACGAGGCAGGATTAGAGGCAGTTATGTTAATGAGGCAGGACACAATCTACAGGATTAGGTTGTACCTTGAGTCAATCTCAAAAGGAGAGGAGAGGGACCGCCTACTACCAAGAAAGAAGAGCTGGGAGCAGAGCATGTCCTTTGGACTTGGGGTCCCTGCACTGAGAAACTCCTAACCCAGGGGAAGACTGATAACAAAGACCTTCCCCCAGAGCTGACAGAGAGAAATCTTCCCCTGGAGCTGGTGCTCTACATTCAGACTTCTAGTCAGAAAATAAATTTCTGTTTGTTAAAGCCATCCACTTGTGGTATTTCTGTTATAGCAGCACCAGATAACTAAGACAGTTACCTTGCAGAAAGCAATTTGACCTTTGTTCTTGGCTTGGTCAAGCCAGACCAACACCTGAGGCTAATAAACCAGGATGACCAGACCAAGAGGGACCACCTGGGGGCCCGATGCTGATTAAGCCTCAGGAGGCCTGATGTAATCTACCATAGCTACGTGGTGAGGCCAAGAAGAGCACTAAGCCCTGAGTCTCGAATGGCACTTCCTAGTTGGTGACCATACACGGGAGAGGGTGGTGTGTCCCTCTTTGGGGCACGGAAGCTCTGCGCTGTGACCACTCCCCCCAGACCTCACCTTATGCATCTCTTCATTTGTATCCTTTTTGGTTGTAATAAATGCGTAGCCATAAGCATAGTATACTGTCCGTAAATTCTGTGAGTCTTTCCAGCGAATTAACGAACCCACAGGCACAGTGAGAGCCAGTAGGGGCTGGCATCTGCCTGTTTGGCATTTGAAAGAAGATGTCCTTCTAACATGTGAGCTCTGACCCAGCTCTGGCTGGTTAGGGTCAGAGAGAGTGTACTGCATGAGCAGCTGCTCATAAGGGTGGCGAAGTGGGAAGATGAGGGCTAGATGATCCTCACACTTTGGAAACTGGATTCATGCTGACCCCAACCACACAGTTAGCAACGAAGGTGGGATTTGCCCACTGTGCCCCTTGTTCAGTGCAGGAGATAATATCAAATAGAAAAAATAGAAAATAGTAGTAACACACTAACTGCAGCAACATATGTAAAAATGTATGCTTGTGTGTGGACTATAAATAAAGTTTATAGTTACTGAGTTCCTTTTTCTGTAAAGTTAAGTACCTAATAAATAAATGTGAGCTATGGGCCTCAGATCATTAAACACAACCAGAAGAGTAACCTGAAGCTCTCAACAACAGTTAAATTATGTCTAAATAAGGCCAGGGGCTTTCATGAAATGCAATCACCCGATGACACGGAACGTGGGGAATTTCTCAAGCACACATCAGTCCTACATAGGAACAGCAGGACTGTAACCAAAACAAAGTACAGAAGATAATTCGAGTCAGAATAAAATTACATTTTCTAGCTGGATTCCCACCAAAACACCATTCTTATTATTGTGTATTGAGTTCCAAGTGCCCTGAAGTAGCACATAAATCCTGTAGCATCTGCAGTCCTTCAGCAGGACCCGTGCCAGGCAGAGATGTGGACGTCATTAAAGATCAGTGTAAGAACACACACACATCATTATTCTGGTCCGTTTCCCCTCATGAGGAATTTCTTCCTCATGCTAGACATACATATTTGGCTTTTATCTCTTCATTCCTATTCTGACCCTCCTTTAAGTACTTGCATTTGGTCTCCAGGGCCAGCAGCAGTTTCTCCGGTGTGAGCTACATCTGTGTGACGGGGCACCTCCTTCAAAAGAGGGCTCTGAAAGGGCTTCCAACTACACAATAAACTGCCACGGGACTTTCTGCAACAGAGAAACTCTTTTACTGCTGTAGTACTTCTCAGCAGACTGCTGTTGTCCACACACTAACTGCAATCTCCAAAGATAACCTGAGCATGCTGCTCCCGGAGCCACAGGGACGGAAGGTGAAGCGGGATGGCAGGGAAACAACTACAGCCCAGCAACTATTGAATCTCCCTGTTTTGTGAAAACTATATCAGGGTTATTGTGCAGTGAAGATAAGAGCTGTTACCAAGGTATAATAGAAGTGGTTGAAGACATTCTGCTAACTGAACCCGGCCCACCTGGACCAATCCCAGGCCTCGAGGACCTCCTAGGTGCTGAAATCTCATAGTGTCTCCTGGAACATGGTCCACACCACCTCCTATGAGTCCCAGTTTTCACAAGGGTATCGCTGTCTATCTCACTAAAAAGATTGAGAATTCCAAAGGGTAGGGTCCAAGTTTTATATTGCTAACTTCTACATCCTAGTAGCCATCTGGGTGGCATAAACAGCTAGACTACTAACCTAAAGGTGGGCGGTTCAAAACCACCCAGTGGCACCACAGAAGAAAAGGCCTGGTGATCTGCTTCTGTAAAGATTACAGCCAAGAAAACCCTATGGAGCAGTTCTACTGTGTAACACATGGGGTGTTGCCCTAAGTCAGAATCGACCGGATGGCACAAGACAACAATTACCCTGATACCAAAACCAGACAAAGATACTACAAGACAAGAAAACTAGAGCCAATGTCTCTTAGGAATATAGATTTTAAAAAATTTTATACAAAATTCTAGCCAAAATAAAAGAGTGCAACAAAACACTAGAAAACCAAATTCAGCAACATAGAAAAGGGATTATATATATCATAACCAAGTGGGATTTATACCAGGAATACAAGGTGGGTTTAACATCAGAAAATCAATTAATATAATATACCGTATCAATAGAATAAAGGATAGAAACCACATGATCATCTCAGTAGATGCAGAAAAAGTATCTGACAAAATACAACACCCTTTCATGATAAAAACACTAAACAAACTCATAAAGATCATATACCAAAAAAACCACATTCAACTTCATACTTAATGGTGAAAGACTGAAGAATTTGCCCCGAAAATCAGGAAAAAGACAGTTGCAGGATGTGATTCTATATATAGAAAATCCTACGGAACCCTCTAAGAAATTATTGGAACCGATAAATAAGCTCAGCCAGCTTATAGGATACAAGATCAATATATAAAAATTAATTGTATTTCCATATACTAGCAATTAGCAAACCAAAAATGAAGAAAACATTCCATAGCATCAAAAAGAATAAAATACTTAGGAGTAAGTTTAACAAAAGAAAGAAATTTGTACTCTGAGTAGCGTCTGGGGTCTTAAAAGCCTGTGAGCAGCCATCTAAGATACTCC